GTACAGAGCGTCATTAAAATGCATTCTTACTCTCAAAAGGGATGGATCAGCCACCTAATGCACAGAGCCAGAAATGCATTCCCACCAGCCCAATTAGGCACTCCTCTTTATGCTTCAAGAGGTTAGGTGAGGATTGTTTGGATTAACTTGCATTAGCCAACAACACAAGGACATTCATTCCCTTTATCTTCAAAGATAATTAAAAAGACTTAAGATCTCTGGTGACTTTACCCTGCAATAGGAGGCAGATGAGAAGCAAGTAAAGATAAACGATATTCTACTATAAGAAATCTTTGCACTTGTACATGGTGTTTCATCCCAACAGCAGGTGAGATGCAGCACCCACTTGAGAGACCTGTTGCTGCGATCATGGCTGCAAAGCAGCTTCAATGAAAAAGTGAGACATTTGTGTGAACACTGGTTGTATATTTCTTTAATGAGAGGCCTATTGTCAGTATCAACTTTTGCTCATCCATCTTAACTACAAATGGTCCTTTCCAGAAATGATGGCAAGGAGCCATGCTTATAACCAGAGGTTCACATAACTGGTATGCATGTGCTGAAGAAGCAGTGGAGGATTTGTAAAATTTCTGCTTGAGACATGTAATCACTTACTGAAGTCTACTGTAAAAAGTAACACCTAATCGATGACGCAACAGGAAGTAGGCGGATCTCTGGGCTTCCGAAAGATCTGACTGCAGATACAAGCATATCTGTAAGGGGGTAAAAAGTAATCTACAAATTCAGAGAACTACCAGAAGTGTACAACTACAGTCGAGTGAAGGTATGCCTTTGCATCTCTTCAAGCAAGTTTAATGGATTTGTACCTGAAGGCTATGACACAATAATGCTCAGAAATGTGGACAAATTCATTTCTGGGGTGGAGAGGCAGAGTGAGGGCCAGAACGGATTGACACTTACTGGCAGCTGTGGTGTTCACAATCTTCGAGCAGTGTCGCCCTGCTCAAAAAAAACAGGAGGGTGTGGTGCATCTGAACATGGAGGGTGGTGTTGAGAGTGTGTGCAAATGTTTGGGTTCTGTCACCACTGTTTAGAGAGCAATAGCCTGGGTCAATAAGGTACAAGAGGAGTTTAAGTGCCATCAAAATCGTAAAGCTCTAAACAGAAATCCAATAAGGAGCTCTTTAAGCATTAAGGCAGCAAACAATGTCCTGTGCATTTAGTGCTTATCGTTTCTTTCACAATTTTTAGTTGGAGAAAAGGCCTTTCGCTTTTGTGTTGAAGCCTGCATAAAACGCATTCATAATGTTTCTTCCATCATCTGCCTCCTTTACAAGCAGAGCACTTTCCCTTTTTGTAAAAACATATTTCCATTGACCTGCGTGTATAAAGGAAGTCATTTTTAAAAAGTGTCCACATACAGTATCAAGCCCTTCACTTATCTTCCTCCACACCAGTCCTGCTTTTGCCAGATATGGAAGATGATTCTGAATTATTTCTTTTCAGAAGAGGAATATACTGTTATAATGGTTTGGTATTAGTGTATTTTACTGTATGGGATACAGTCAGAAGCTACATCATCCTGCATCTCTCAACTGCCAACCCACTGAAGCTAAGCAGGTGTGAGTCTAGCCAGTATCTGGGAGACCTCATGGGTCTGATTTCTGCTGGAAAAGGTTTTAGGGGGGACCAGTAGGGGGCACTCATCCTGTAGCCTGTGTGGGTCCTAATGCCCCAGTATAGTAATAGGGACACAACACTGCAAAAAAGGCACCATCCTATTTACAAGATGAGATGTAAATCTCTCTGTGGTCATTAAAAATCCCTAGTGTCCTGGCCAAATTTCAACCTGGCCTTTACCAATCATGGCCTCCTAATAATCCCCATCTGTGAATTTGCTTCAGCACTCTGTTCTCCTCCCCACTGATAGCTGATGTGAGCACACTGGTGCAATATGGCTGCCATCATCCAGGTGGAGCTACACATTGGTAGTGGTGATGGAGGGGAGTCCCAATTACCTGTAAAGTGCTGTGAGTGGAGTCCAGAAAAGCTATAGAAGTGTAAGAAGTGTAAGAAATTATTATTTCTGTAACAAGTGGTAAATAGCCTTTACTTTTTTTTAAAGCAAATGTGGGATAATATGACATGACCACACATGATCATTCCAAAAAAGAATCTCCACTTCTTTTCCCAAACATTGTCTCTTTGTTCCGCTCTTCCTTCTTCTGAGTAGTACAGAACTCTGCTGGGGAGGAAATAACCACAGGCTGTCAAAAGCTCTTTGCCGGACCTAGGAATCCTGAACAGACAGTGCAATCTCATCAACTAAAGCTAATGCCATTTGTTACCAATGACAAAAGTGTTGACAAGTTTTGCTCAGTTACAGTAGGTGTAAATAAGTCAAAATGCAGACTTCAAATCAGCAGTAGACGTAGAAAAAAACCCCAATATGTACGTTTGATTTGAGCCGGGACTAAAGCAGCTTACAGCAGTTCGCCCACCTGATGTCTAAATGCTAGATAAAGCAGTTTAATCCCCTTGTCTGGATGAAAGCTGGGACATTTGCTAATCGCAAATGCAAACTGTCAGAAGTTAATCACAGGTGCACAGTTCGCAAATCACCACATCATACTAATGGTGAGCCTGCTAAAGACGATGAGTTTAATACTGGAACACTCTGCACTACATTAGTACAAAAGAGAGTAAAAGAAAAATATATATTTTTCAAATACTACGATTACTGGTTAAAATTCAGGTCATCCCACATTGATCGAAAAAAGTAACATCAAGTCATAGAACTTCGATCTCCATTTGCATATTTCACTTGTTTGGCATTTATCACAACTATTGTGTAATGATTCCACTGAATTAATATCCCAATGTTCTGTGTTATTATTTTAACTCAGAGTTTCCCTTGACTTTAATGGCTGTAATTCATCCTTATCTTCAGAATACATCATGAATGTTAACCTCGCAACTACTTCTTATAGAAACTGGTCTCCATCAGAGCAGAGCAGTTACAAGCTCCACTTACTGACTGAAATTACCAGAATTGCAATCTTTTATCAAGATAACTAACATAAATCAGCATGTCATTGGAAATTATCTCCCCCCTGCTGTATAGTGTAGGGGAAACGATGTAGACCACTTTTAAAAGCCCTGAATCTTTTTATCCTAAAACCATGTCATACATTAAAAGCAATCCACAAATCAGAACTACATATCCCTGTGTTGTATTGGAAACCAATCTTTACTTTTGTCTGGGTATCTGACGTTTTGTTGAAGTGAAGTACGGTATGTTAACAGAATTTAATTTGCTAAAGCAGTGAAGACCATACTAAGGAACTTTTTGGTCGGGGTTGCCCCATTGCAGACAGAAGCGAAGGTTTTACATGAAGAGAGAATTAAGACTCCCAAGGAAAGCAAACACCTACACAGTAGGAGTCTTTAAAGGGACTTCTGTACCACCTGTTGCCCTAATGCAGTAATACGCACTCCTAGTTTATGAAGGGTGGTCAGTCAAGAGTTTTTATAATCAACGCAGTCATTAAGTCTTCAACTACAGTAATTACATTCATTTAGGCCATCGAGGTTAGTTTTGGTCTCAGAAACGTTACTCAACATTTACTCAACAGGACCGGGGGTGTGTGTATGAGTAACGTTCCGGATTGGTGCACCATTCTCGGTTACTCGGGCTGGAGAGAAGTGGGATTTACAGTAGATATGCATCAGGTCTAGCAGCAACTTGGCTTTTAAGGGAAGTTGGAGTTGTTGAAATATCACTCAAAAGGAAATAGCCGATAAGTCGTTTTAGTGTGAGAAAGGGAGTAAAAAAGCCGTGAAATAATAGTTAAGTGCACTCGGCAAGCACATTTCTCTTAACTGATACAACTGTACGGACAGGCGAAGGCAAGGCTTTCCAAGTGCTTGTCTGTTAGATTCCCATAGGTCAATGTGAGGAATATGTATCTTTTACCGTCTGTTTAACTTACACAGAACACAATATTATTAATTACGACAACAATGATGATGTCCCGGATCCACAGCGCTTTGGAAAGCATGTTTATCGATACCAGTGTGTGGTGTTATGCAGGTATTGCACAAGCTGTCAGTTAGGAATTCTATTGATTTTGCAATTTACAACTGATGTAGTTGATGAGTGCTCCCAACACCAACACTGTGACCAAACTACAGTATCCAAATGCCGATTGCGAGACGAGATTTGCCATCGTTTGACAATTTTGAAAAAAACATCTTTCCGATTCCCACCCCCCAATCTATACAAAAATGCCCCCTGCAGAGCCACCCGCATGCACCGTGTGTAACGTCCGGTTTTCACTTGCAAGTCGGGGGACCTCCACAACTTTCCGCCCGACGAGCTTCGGGACTGACGGGACCGGATGCTTTTCTTACAAACCCAACTTACGCTCCCCTCCGGCTCGTTACACACACGCACACGCTACGTAGTAGACGCGGCGCACCCGGACACCGTCTCCGCGGTGAGCAAACCACCAGGTTCCCCGGCCAACCACGACAACTCTCACAGCAACAGCGGCGGCGGCAGTCAGCACAACATCCCCACCTTCCAGACATTTAAAGATTGCCACACTCCCTTGGAAAACAGTTTAATTCATGACAGTTAAAAAGAGAGAGAGAGAGCGAACGAGCGAGCGAGCGAGCTTGACTTCCGAGTTCAATTGCGATTTGGGCACAACTCAAAAATAAAAAAAAAAGTCCAAGACGTTTTGATCATTTCATATTACGTCAGGAGTCAATGCATTCGCTCAGCTTCGCTAAGCAATCACACGCTTTTGAAAGGGGGTGCGGGCAACATGCAAATACGTTACAAAACAGTGTTAGGAGAAAGCTCTCTTTTTACAGTACTGTATCACGTATTATTTTGATTAAATGCGGATAGTGGGTGCATTTTTCACTACCCAGGCAGTTTAGCGCATTAAGTTTGATCAGCGGCACCTGAAGGTCGCCAGAAACCACGCAAGTAAAAAAACAAGACGTAATATTTGAAATCGTTTACTCACAGAATGGTTAACTCCCCACATCAGGACGCTCAGCAGAGGGTCGCTGGCACGGAACAGCTTGACTTTCTGAGCAACAAAATGTTTCTTCTTCGTCTTCGTTTTACTCGCAATTGATGAGGCAATGCCACTGACTGTAGCCATGTTTTACACTTAATTTTGCCTAATAATGACAGCTCACGTTCAAATTCAGGGTCGGTCTCTTTAACAACAGAACAGACCGAGAAAAAAGTATGTACACTTATGCTGCGCCTCCTGTCTTGGTTCTTCTTAAGATGTCAAGAGCCTATTCTCCTTTTATTTTTAATGCAGCTGCAGAATAAGCTCCTTACCATTTAGTTATCGGCATATCTAACCTAAAACAGCAGCTCCCCTTAAAAATAACCCTCCCCACCTTGCTTCACTCCAACATTCCCCTGTGAATACTTTATTGACGAGCGCGTTTGATACCCAGAATTAAAATACGTCTTCAAATAAAACAAAAAAAACTGAGATTTCATGCAACATACACAGCTCAATAAACCAATGCTCTCAGTCCTCTGTGCTCTCCCCACTGCGTACCAGTCCTGCACTAAAGCAAACACTTTCCCTCTTCCTTTTGCACTGCTCGTTTCCTCCAAAAACCGCTGCTGGCAAATGATGGACGTCCTAAAATAAAAATATCCGCATTGCAACCGTGTTACAATTTTGAATTTGTAGGTTTAAAATAAGCAGCCTCTGTCCCAGCGCTTCCGGCCGGGTGCTGCTCTGGTGACTGACAGCCCAGGGAGGCGGAGGCCGGCGCTACAGCATGCAGACCGATTATTAATGCGGTTGACGTTTTCTAGCGTAGAAAACAGCGGCGGTAGGTAAGAAAATAAAAACGTTGTAACGGTATTTTGCTGCCTTTACCGTTTCGTTCTCAACCATAACTATAAAACTAGGAATAAAGTTTAAAAAAAGCCAACCGCACTCAAGTATACTTTTCGTCTTTAATTGTCATTTTCCATTTATTCACGCCTCTACTTGGGCAGACGTGACTTAGATAATTATTTAATTACTTTATAGGTATTTCATAAGTGTACACAAGACGAATGCCGAACTTTTTTTTATTCTAGTTATCATGTATTATTTATATATGGGATGTGAACATTCTTTAAGACTCGAAATTAAACAATTTAATTACGCAGGGGGGCACTTAAAACAAAAAAATATTTTGTATTACAAAGTGATACAAAAGCGTAGGTGTTCAATGATGAACTGTCTGATTTCACCAATCACAAACCAAAGCTACAAAGCTTAAGGGAGAAGACGGTAGACAGCTGACTCACGAAAGATGCATACAGAACTAATTCTTCATCACAAAACCTGTGGCTGATTATACTGTACGAATCCGATGTCTAATATAAATACAAAGGGTCAGACTAGTATTTTTAAACGGTGTTAGGAATGTAAACAGCTGCTTTATTTGTATTTGCAACAACAACAACAACAGCAACATTTGTTCCACATTTACAGTACCTGTTTGCAGTGGTTTCTGTTGTTCTACTTTTGCTACAGTTTTGTGTCCAAGAGTACTGTATGAGAGCAACACTGTAGTGTTTATGGTTAGTACTGACACTTAACCTAATAATAATTTACATCTGTATTTAATTAAATTAATACTAAACGAAAGTGCTGAAGTTGGATTACATTTATATTGTTGTCTGATTACCGAGATGAAACAATCTAAAATGATATTAACAATTAAATTTGCACAAGAACAGCGGAATGTGTTCTAAATACAAATGGTGATTTGACTGGAAGTGCAGTTAATAGTGTTTTGTTTTGTTTGAAATATTTGATTGATATTTGTCATTAAGAATAGTTACACATGAGGGATTGTATATCTTCTTTAAATTGTGTGCAGTAACTTATCATTGTTGATAAACATCCCCCTAACTCACACAGAGAGAAAAGACAGCAATCGTGATTAATCATCATTGGGCCCAATGTATGGAAACAAACTTACGATTCACTGTAGAAATCTGTGGTTTCAATAGTTTAATAGTTAGTCCATGTGACAAACACAAAATAATAAAATATATCTTTCAATGGTTAAAGACCCAAATACCTTTACATAAGAGGATGGCATTATGATAAGATATTTAGTCTTTTTAAACTTCCAGAATCCCTGCAAATAAAACTGCCTCTTACTTTATAAGAAGTACGAAATGGTACTTTAAATATCTTTACATTATGGTAGCCTGTTTAGTTATTCTTGACTTTCTTTAAAAGTCATTAGTAAAACAATGAAATCTAAAATGCATTAAACATGTATTCATGTTTCAATCAAACTGCATACAATCTACAGTAGTAGCCATTTAGTAATTCCTTTTAAAGTGTCACTGAAAATACCACAACACCAGTTAGGCACAGTGGATTTGAAGAAGGCAACACAAATCAACAGTCAACTAAAGTATCGCAATGTAGAAAACAAGAAGTGTGGCTTTATACACAAATAGATTGAGGGAAAGCACAGAATAGCATTCCTCAGTTGTAGAATTTGCGAGTTCTGAAATAAGGTGAAAAGTAAAATGGTGAAGTAATCAGTTAAAGAAAGAGGAAATGATCTGCCTGACCAATTGCTGTGGTTAGGCTACACTCTATAACTGAGCATCACTGCTACGGGGCTTCTCTAACCAGTGCCCATTTCATGGTAAGAGGTTGCAAAGAAGGACAAGGCTTTCAAAAGAAATAAAGAGAAGGGTTTATTTTTCCATGTTCGCAGTTTTTTATATTTGTGACTCCTTCAGGCAGTATTTAATGTAAAATTGTCTTTATTTCAGTATAGTGAATACTAGCTTTGATAACTATTGATGGTACAGGACTCCAAAAATACATCTTTATTTACAAAAAAAAAAAATCTAGGGAAAGGTTGTCAATGATCTGTTGAAGTATCTTGTGTGTTTAATCCCCCAATTGTGTATCATATATACAGTACATATAATAAAACTTGACTGACACATGATGGTCTCTAACCTTTCAACTGAAGTATTTGAATAAGATCACTGTCGAAGGGTAGCAGGGTGCTGGGTAGCAGCCACACAAATATAGGTATAGTGTACACTTTGGTCAAGTTTAAGACTAATTAATTTAACCAAAGACCTGATTCAGACCTAAACTCAAATCTCTTATCACAATTTGTCATCATTCTATATATTTTATATGCTGCCCTCCCTCAGTAATGAACATTCTACCATTTTCCCTTTGAAGTGGTGACAACACTACTTTTCCTCTCAGACCTTTGACTCAGACATTGCTAAAGATTGCTTGCAGCTCTCCATCGGAGACAAACCAACCTTTAAAGGTTAAAAATGCTGACCTGGTGACACTGTGTAGGGGTAGTGGACTAGGGCACTGTCGACTCTAGACAGGAATGGACTGTCTGGATGGAAGAGTCAAAGGTGGCCACATTGAGAAATGTTTTGTGCGGCAAAACCAAACATTGCCTTCAAATAAGATAACCTCATCCCAGCCATCAAGCGTGGCCTCAGGACCCAGCCATCCCAGCCATCTCAGTGCCTCAGGACCGAGAGGGCTTGCCGTCGTTGATGGAATTACATTCTGAAGAAGAAGCCGAATCTAACACAACGTATGGAAATATCTTGGAGCACTGGTTTAGTCATTATTGATCCATTTTCTAACTGCTTTATCCAATTCAGCGTCGTGGAGGCGCCAGAGCCTATCCCGGCAAGCAACAGGCACAAGATGGGATACACCCTGGATGGGACACCAGTCCATCGCAGGGGGCACACAGACACAAGCATACACTCACACCAGGGCCAATTTTCCTAGAAGCCAATTAACCTACTGTACCAGTATGTCTTTAGACTGGGGGAGGAAACCAGAGTACCCAAAGGAAACCCATGTAAGCATGGGAAGAACATACAAACTCCATGCAGACAGCTCCCCAGGTCCAGAATTGACTCCAGGGCCCCAGCGCTATGAGGCAGCAATACTAACCACTATACTACCCTGCCATCACATTATTGAACATTACCATTTATTTTAACATACTACGTTTTACCTGGTTTTAAATTGTTGGAGAGCAATAACAAAAATTCTTCTACTTTTTAATAAGTTTAAAAAAAACTACAATACACAAGAAGAGAAAAGTTACTCTGAAACATTTCATAAGGTGTAGATTTCACCCTTTATTTTTTATATACTTAAATTTTTGCGTAGTTTGAACATGGTACTGATAAAAGAGGGACATGATGATTAGTTTATATCTTTAAATCCTAACCGATGCTACTGTATATCTCGGTGCATTCAGCCTTGAGAGAGAGAAATGCAGAGTGGAAGAGATCTCGCACTGATGTTGTCTGTAAGAATCCATTTCCTGTATGCTCTTTCTGAAACTGAGCAATACAAACACTCCTATACTATGTCATCAATTTGCAAATGTTTACATATCCCATGCCTCCACTGTAACAAAGATGCAAAAATAGGAGGTACAGTACATAATTCTGTCACTGTTATATGAAAATCATGCACAGGTGCCACAAGTAACATATAACTGCTCCAGGTCTTATAGGGAAGCAACTCTAAAAAGTAAATACTGAAGGAAAGCCTGTTCTGCTTGTTCATCTCTCACCCTGAAGACAGTCTTGACACCCAAGGACTGTCCTTTAATAAGAACATCCATGTAAGACAACAAGCGAAACCTTAGCATAAACTCTGCCTGCAGCACAGACTAAGAAAGACGTTCAATGACTATCAGGCTATATGACTGAGAAGTTTGTTTTTATTTGTATGAAAAGCACAAAATTAATTAAAAGTTGTTAAATTAATGGACAATGTGGTAAATGAATATAGTAAAAACACCTAAAAGGTGGTATAATCCAATACAACAGCTAATATACATAGTAGAAACTATATGCTTATTATGGGGGCATTTACTATAAAACAGACTATTTATCAATGCATACTACAGTACATCATAAAAGGACATGCATCACAGAATGCACAGTTTTGTCATACTCTGGTACACAGGTCTACTAGTACTAGTACAGTTTTAAAATGCATATCAATAATTTATTAAATCTCTGTGTATGTACAGGCACTAAAGCTCTCTTAAGTAGTTACAACGAACGTTGTACAGCAAGTGTATGTACTCTACGAGCGTGAACATTCTCTTCAGTAGTTACAGTACAACAAGTGTAGTATGAGTGATATAACCTACAGGTAAACACATTCAGGAATCTGGTTTTGTACATATGTCTACTGAAATTTTCACAGTACCTTTGAAAAATAGTGCTGTGGGTAAATTTGGTGTGATATACTGGTGGACAATGGAAATACAAAAGTCTACGTTTTCCACCAGTACTTCATTGGACACATACAGTATAAGATTATTTACAATTAACATCGTGAGCCAGCCCAGAAGTGATGATTATCCAGTAGTTCAATGGTACACTCATAAGGTCTTTCCATGTCCAGATTTTTATCATGATCAGAGTCCAGTAGAGCATCTGTGAGACTTATGTGCCAATTCCATCGACAGGAGACTGCTACTGGTCCACTATCCCACTGCTGGTCCATCCCATAACTGTCTACGCAGAGGGTGATTGGATACATGCCTCAAACCTGGATTGTGTGGATTGCAAATGACTAAATTCACCATGATTTCTCTTTACCAGTGTGCCATGCATCATATTGAAGATTATAATGATTCTCTTGACTGCATTTTGGTTCTACTTTTCTATGTATTTTTTTAGCTGTTAAATATAGAGATATAATCGACTAGGTGTGAGTGTTTAATTTCTTTTGTGCATCAGCTGACATTCATCTCTTATTTTTAATTGTAAAGCTTGTTTCTAGGTACTATGAATCACAACACTATCTCTTAAAGCTTAATTACAACTAGTTGTGAATGAGAATGTACAGTAGATACAGATTTACAATACATTTTTTTACTTTTAAATGCTCATAACTGGTTTCATTCCATGTATATCAGATGAAGAATAAATCACAAAAAAATAATGCGTTTAATATCAGTACCATGGGCTGGTGGAATAGTACATTTCATTATCACTGTGGCTGTTTTCTGAATCTTCCTTCAAATATCAATTGGCAAATCTTACATCAGGTGCTGTAAACCATTGATGGTTTTTAATTGCAATTTTCGAAGACAAAGATAGACCATCCTGACTCCAGGTTTTTGAACAGGACTCAATAGTGGCTAAGTGTTGAATGTTTGACAATCTCTCTTTGTCCTGGGAACCACACCTGTAGTCCTAGATAGATGAGCTATAAGGTTCATTTACAGAGGACAGGTCTTGAAAGCGCTAACTTTTGTTGTACTTCTTAGCTACAAAACAGATGAAAAGAGATTTTATCACTTCTCTTCTCTTCCCCTTACTTGGAGATGCTCTCCTTGCTTTGAACAGTTCCCTAGAAAACTGCTGCATTTACTCACAGTAAGGACATCTGCCCACCTCCAGTTCTCAGTTCCCAGTTCTACTCCCTCTTGAAAACTGAGACTTGAAGAGTAATATATGGTGCACAGGAATCCACTTAGTGTCAGGGAATTTAACCCAAAATACTGAAACAGCAGATGCCCTGAACCTTATAGGAAGGCTACCAAGGTGCGTACATTACAGTCATTTCTTTATTCTTGAGGATTTCCGAAATGCCAGCTTGAAGCTTTATTCAAACAAGAAACAAGGGTGTTTGGCCTATCTTTAGGTACTCAGGCTCTCCACACTCGGTAGTGTAACAACAAATAGCTGTAAAGACATAGTCTAATAAGTAAACATATCTTTCTTGCAAATGGCAGGATTTAATCTTCGAAGATTCAAAGGTATTTCAGAAAAAGTTCAAGTCCAAAAAACCAACTGAGTGCCATTTAAAGAAACCTAAACAAAATTATTATTATTATTATTATTAGTCAGGCGTAGAAGGAAGTTAATAATATGTGTCACATTTGTTGATTTGTTGAGTGTGCTGAGAACGTTTCCTAGCAACCAATGACAACAAAGAATCCGGTCACCACGATCCATTTCCGCAGAACCAGAAAGGTAAAGAAAGTACGGCACATCTTTTACTGGTTAACATCACAAGTTTTGATTTCCTTATATCCTTACAAAACATGCTTAACATTTTCAGAGCCGAAATGCGTTGTATTGTACCGTACGCGAAAGGAAAACGTGGAATTATCTTTTTACGCTACGTGTGGACGTGCAGTGCAAATCTGATATCTAAATACTTACACTCGAAAAAAATGGATTGCCTAGTTGCCTAGTGAGCGATTAACTAGCTAAGCTTTAGACAAAAGCGAAAATAATATTTATTGCAGGAGATGAAAGGGAGAAACAGTAACGGCGTGATCTTTGATTGATTTTTTTATGTTGATGTTTCTTTTCCTTTGAATGTGGTAGTGAGCTTTACTACTGTATGAAACAAACTGTTGATCCCAGCACAAACACGAAGAAAAAAATGTTTCAATTCCTGAAAACATTGCTAATTACTGTTTTTTGTTGTTGTTGCCGTAAAATATAGCCACTGTTTAAATATTTAAAGTCCTGGTTTTGGTCAAGGCACTGAGCGCATTTAAAAACCTTATTGTGTACGTCTTGATTTCACTTGTGAAGTCGAAATATACTGTACTGTAAGCAGGAATTTCCGAGGAATTGTGAATAGCATGTCACCTACAGTAAGTGGTTAAATGTAAGCTTATATGTTTTTATGCAATTCTTCACACTGAATCTCATGTGTGATTTTTTTAGAAATATATTATAAAAATAACTTAGAGTACTACCCGGCGTTGTTCAAGAGTCCGAATTTTTGGTTTGAACTAGTGATTCCTGTATTTGTCGCTTTGAGAAATCCAGCCTTTCACAACTTGGGATTCAGAATTAAAAGTAATGTTCTTATGGTGCCATCGGTTCTGTTCCTTATAATGTTGAGATGGTGAAGTGGGCTGAGTTAAACATTTCTGTGAACGCTTTATAGAAATAATGAAGTATAATAAACATTTTTTTATATAGCGTCTTTAAAAGTGGTTTCTCAAAGCGCTTCATAGAACAGCGACAAAAAAGAAATACACAAAATGCACATTGGATAATATACGCATTGAAATGTAACAAAACCTTGTTTGGTTAAAAACGTACTGCTTCTATTATGTAGATATACCTTAATGATGTATGAAGTAACCTAACAGAAAGTAAATGATCTCCAAAAGCCACTCAGTTGATTCGTCCTAAGCTGAAATCATTTTCTAAATTAAAAATAAATAAATGCTGATATTTTATACATCAACTTACAACTGTACACAACCTGTACAAGAATGTCAAGGCAGTGTAGGTAGTCAATCTGACAAGTTTCATCAGGTACCATGTGTGCTATTCAGACTTAATCCTAAGGACTTGGTCTTTTCCCAAGATTTAAATATTTATTATAATAACTAAGTCAAATGCACCCAATCACAATGTACAAGATGAAACTGACAGCTTGGAGATTTGTCAATCCGTTGCCCATCTTGAAAAGTCTTTTTGATATTTTCTCTTTTTGTTTTTGACAGTATTATCTGCATGATTTTCAATTAAAATGCATATTCAATTACACCTTCAGCAGTTTGCTGATCTTTTTAGGGTCCACCTGCAGCAGTTACATGTACTGTACATAACAAACTGATTCTGTCATTGTACAAAATGTGCTGAGAAAACAAATTCTATATTAATATTGACTTCATATTTATTACTGGTGTTTCATATTTTAGGATGGGGAAAAAGGTGAAAAAGGAAGAAGAACCTCCAGCTAAAGATGTAGTAAGTATATAAAAGACTATAACACCTTCCTGATTTTTACAAAGGTGTGTGCAAACATGGGAATCTAAACTATAATGATTCCTTTTACTTGCTTTTGTAAGTATAACTATATTTAAGTTTTACTTCAAGCAGGGATCTCCCAAGTCCGGCTTTTGAGATACACTCTTTGGGTTTCCATTTCAATTAAGATCGTAATTACCTAATTGAAAAACACAACTGGACTGATAATTAGGTTAATTAGCCCTTTCGTTGAACAGTTGGACATTTCACATTTCCTATGAATTTTCTAAGTGATTACAAAATGACAACCATTAGAAAGGAACAAGTAATAGGTTTATCCCATGCTGAAAGGAGAAGTAAGAAAACAGAACGTTTTCGCTTTGGAGCCTTCTTCACACCCGAAGAAGGCCACAGCCGAAACATTGTGTTTTCTTTCTTCTCCTTTCCACACGGAATAAACTTATTACTCTCTCCTTTGCAGCCTATGGATGCTGACGCAGCTCCCCACCTGAACTACTTCAACCATTAGAAATGCAGTTATTAGCAGAAATCTGAGTTAAAATAAGAAAGTGAGGGCTCAGCTGGAAAGAATAACAGAAGAGTCTCTGGGCCAAGACTGTGCTTTAAAGATTGTAATGTGCCTTTTTCCACACTTATCAACGCATTATAAAACAATAATCTGAAACTCAGAAATAAAAAGAAGCAGGCCCAGGTGCCAGAAGAGATTAAGTTACAAACTAAACAGTCTGTCTCATCAATTGAGTAATAATTCCTCAGAATTACAGTGAAACCTATACAGTGCATTGCCATGTGTATGTCATGCACTAAAGACTGATAAAGGACTCCCGTTCTCTGTATCTGCCAGTTTTAGTCCACACAATAACTAAGCACGTCGATTGCCATAACTCCTACAACTCTTTGAACAATTTAAAAACATGGTGAAATTAACAAGACACTCAAATTCTGCAGTTTGACAATACTAGGTTCGTGGAACAGCCTGTTTGCTAAAAAAGGAAAGATACCAAAAGACTCAAAGCTGATGTATAAATCTTTTTTTAAACAAATGGACCCTGTCTTGTGAAAGAAGTGAAGCTTTGGGTTATTCTGAATCACTTTCTCCCACAGTCTCTAGTGCTTGGCTGAAGGCCAGCCGCGATGCATAATATCCTTTAGCTCTGTCTGCTTTGTACAGTAGGTTATTCTGAGGTACATTTGCAGGAGTTATTTGCATATATATTAGCAATTTAAAACTGTGCCTCTGAATTACACTTGTCACAGGAGGAAAAGAAAAGTTGCCAATGAATGAGAATATGATAACAATTATAAATAACAATTAATATTTCTTAATTATATGGTGCAGAGGGTGCTCAAAAACGTTTAATTACTTTATGACCTTAAGACTGAAAACTAGGACTAAATCTATGTCTTGTCAAAAGCATTTGCTGCTTCAATAAACATCATTAGCTGCTCTTCTAAATCTGTTTTCATCTCAATGCATCCTTAATTTAAGCACCAAAAACACCTTTATGTAGTTTATTGAGAAATCTAAATCAGTGATTCTTAATCTGGGGGCACATCCCCCCCTAGGGGTAGCGAGATGCCCATTCTGGGGGCACGACACAGGTCAGCGTTTTATAGAAGGTGAATCATCGAATACACAAATGAAACACAGGCATGTGTAAATGCAACTGCTTTTTTCATCACACCTACAGTGGGTATTTTAAGGTATGCTTAAAAAAGTGTGTAATTTTTCATGTAGTCTTAATTTGACCAAAAAATTAAAATAAATATACAGTATAATTATATCTCTTTCATGCCTAGTTATGATATATCTTTGTTTAATGAACTGACCTTCTTCAATGTTTTTTTGTAAGGGGTACAAGAACATATTTTGAGACCCACAGGGGTGCAGGCCGCATTAAAGGTTAAGAACTATCAGCCTAATTACATCCACTGACTTCCTGGTTTTCAGTGCTTTTCAGGGGTTTTCCCATAATATAAAGTATGTCCTGCTTGGATTTCGACATCTGATTTGAGCATTGCATACTAAGCAAGTACATCTTCTTGGATATGCCTCAAATGAAACAGTTAGTTTCGGGTTTAAAATAAGGAAACCATGCAGTATATAAAAACAGGCTTTGCAAAAGGTGAAGAGAAAGCAGGACAGTTGGGAAAAATATAACCTTACACATTGCCATTGGTGGCAGCAAGAGTTTAATTGCATTCACAATTGACATTTTTCTTTTAAGTCTTCTCATTCTGGCAATTACATAGTTTTGTATGTGGAAAGCTAGAATCCAGGAGTGTGTTCTTGGGGTAGACATCTTTTTGATATTGTGCTCAGCTGTTTTGCCCTTCTTCTACCTGCTGGCTGAATGTTCTGTTCTTTAGTTTTAATCTTGCCTGTGTCATCATTTTAGTGATATACAGTAAAAGGGCCTTATGCAATGAAAAGTATTAATACTTAATTAATTAAATACAGTATGTATTATACATTAATCAGGTAGTTCAGAGATTGATTATTGACCACCCAAGCTGGAGAGGTAATAAATGCTCTCCTGCTTTCTACTGTATGTTAGGCCAGTTGTCATTGTACTGTATTTGTAGTTGTCATGTGCATACACACATGCAATCACCTTTGGTTTCCATTTTGAATATCCTGAGGTTAATACTCTTCATGGTCATGTCATTATAAGCATACAATAGGAGCAGCAAAGAGAGCAAAGGAATTTCCATTTTAAAACAGCATTAATCTTTTTATGTCATACTGACATTTTGGAAACAGGAGGCTATAATCTGGATGTCACTTTGTTGCAAATTTAAACGTTGTCCCAACTTGATTTTATTTGACAGTTCGATCCTCTACCCATTGAAAGCAAAAGCGCAGCAACCGTGGTGCTTATGCTGAGCTCTCCAGAGGAAGAGGTTTTAGCCAAAGCGTGTGAAGCTATCCACCGATACGCCGAGAAAGGTTTGTTTAATATAGGCTATGTCTTCTTTCATATAGTTTTTGACTCTGTTCCTGCCTGTTCAGTTGGTGTACAATTATAGAGACAAAATCAGACCCAAGCCTGAACTATTTAGAGACTCAAAGAAAAATAATAATAACCTAATGCAGCTAGTTTAGGTTTAATTTCTCTATAAATTTTATACAATTATATTTAAAAAAGTCTAGAATACAGCAGAAGAAGGTCTCCAGTCTTGTGCAGAGATTGGACTAGTCTTAAGTTAGTTTAAGATTAGACATTGAAATAGGCATCTGATAGAGTTTAGCACTTTCCTGTCAACTTAGGCTGAGTAAAGATGGGTGTAACATAATGATATTTCCCATATCAAGTATACCATTGGTATAGCAGCAAGTATACCAAAAGGTTTAGGAACCACAAGTGAGCTCACTCTCTGAGGTGCATGCTCCACTTCTACTTTGAAGGCTGAAGAAGCCCTATGGCTGAGACAAAAGGGAAGACCAGGTAGCCTAGTAGGTTCAAGACCATAATTGGACGGACAATGATTTATTGCATCAGTGTTGGTCCAACCCTATAGCTGAGTGGGTTAATGTGAATAGATCCTCCTACACCACACCACTAGTTATCGGGCAATTTCCCACATAGTGCCAGTGTATCTCTAAAGAAATGTTGTCATGAATCAGCACCAAAAGCATACAGCACCTGTGATACTCACACATTATCTTCCTTTAGGTTTGTCAAGAGTAAAACAAGATTTATCAGTCACTAACACTCCATCCCTTTCCCTCAGATGTTCTTTCTGCTGCTGATGTGTTACCTTGAATGGTCTCTGAGCATGATGATCATTTTAAAATGGAATGGCATTCTATAGTCATTTGGCTGATAAGCAAGTTGTTTCTTCCTAGAATTTCTCATTGGTTGCCACTGCAGTCTAAAAATGGTTTCATAGATGGATCAGGTGTGGTGACCCTTTGCCTTCCAGGATGCAATTTGCCCTTCTCTGGATTAGTTTGCTGATTGTTGAAGCAGAACATCTCATTTTATGGGCAATTTCTCTCCCAGAAAGGCCACCTTCAATCCTGCTGGTAGTAACCCTGTAATCACCATTAATCAAGATGGGCAAAGTCTTGTATCTTTCATTGGTCTTGCTTTAGTTAAAATTGTGCCTTTTGAATGATATTTATACAGATTCTCAGCTCATTTGGGCAATTTTAGGCCTGGTGTTTTATGAAATAATATGAGTTGAACTCAGAATTTAGCTATCACAAGGAACATCTTTACACCTCAGTCTCTATACTCATTACACCTAAAATCATATATTATTTACAATTATGTTTTATTATCGCATAGGGTCTACTACAAGATCTGACACAGATTTCAGTCCGTGTCCATGACACTTATATTAAAAATGACACTTATATTAAAAACATTTAAAGCTGAACTTTCACACTGCCTTATTCATGGGCCCTTTTCACTCTCAAATGGAAAGGATTCTCTAGTTTGCGAGATTACTTCTGTGCTTGTGCACTTATGCCCTTATATTTTTATTCGATCTTTCTGAAGGTAAAAAGATGAATTAGAAACAGTCCTCGGCCTGTCAGTGTGAAGGCTTGCCGAGTTTGAGGGTGTTGTGAAAGCTTGGCTTGTAAACATCTGTTTTATCCCCCGTAGGAGATGAAAACAAAGGGACTCTTGTTGGACTTGGAGCTGTGGAGCCTTTGGCCAGGCTGATCTCACACGAAGACAAAGTTGTGCGCAGAAATGCCATCATGGCTCTGGGCGTCATGGCTGCTCACAGTAAGGACACACCCATTCCTTTCAAATGCATCAACACTGTTAGGACTGAGCAGGAAGGCATTGAGCTGGGTTGTTGTTTATAAAGAGGAAGCTGATAAACAGACCTACACAGCCATATCAGAAATTCAACTTTCTATATCCATGAATTTTACATTTCAAATTCAAAACTGATTAAAGGGCTTCAGAGCAACAAGAGAATGGAATTGAAAGGACATCCAATATTACCACAAGGTTAATTTGAGGATTTTTAGATATTCACATTTGCTTTTATAACAACATGGCAATAATTGTCTTTTGTAATGAAGAGAATTTTGGTTTGTTTTTTTCAGTAACTCTGGAGGTCCAAGTTTCTAAACACTTTGCTTTTTAGGTTTACAGTGCTATGCTTCTGTTTGTATCATGTAACTAGTTTGTCTTTTTTTGTAGGTGATGTTAAACGGCATTTGAAAAAGTTGGATATTATACCTTCAGTTATAGGAAGACTACTGCCTGAAGGTATGTTTTTGTTCGGCCACTTTCTTGAAGGTGTATAAGCACCAGGATGCCAGCTTTTATTAATTAGTTATGTTATACATTTCACATTTCAAGACAAAACTCCTATTTCAGTACGCTGACAGAACATAGAACCTAACTACAGTAAATATAATCAGATTCAATGTTTGGAAATGGAAATTGAAGACATATGGAAGAACATGATGCAATTGAATAAAATCCAATGCAGTATTTAGTTAACTAGTAATAATAAATAATGGTAATTAGGAAAGACATTTTTACAGAATAATACTGGGGCCTAGTCCAAGTGTGGCAAACAGCAATCTTTTCTTTATATGTGTAGGATTCTATATATTCTATGTCTAAAATAATCGAAATTCTGATGATTAATGTTCCTAAATCCTAGAAATATTGAAGTCTCCCGGCCTTTAATCATATCAGCTCTTAACAGACATTCCAATCATGGGTCAACTGAACAGTTTTTATTCAGGTGTTAGTAATGATACTAATATTACTTCCATGAGAGAGGTGTGTGTAATGCATTCAGCAAAACTAAGTATGTAGAACCAAAAACATCTGTTATCATAAAAATATGTGAGATTGCCCCTGCTATTTGTAATAAACGCACATATGTTTTGCGATCCCATAACATGGGTTCCTGATACTTAGTGATTCACCACATTGTTGTGTGAAACAACCCTAGGTACAGAATTCCAGGAATCTGTACCACAAAGCACAAAACTGCCCACAAAGCAATATACTTAGAGTAGGAAACAGTTCAAAAATCATTGAGGAGTTATTATAAGATGTACAGTTTATTACTGAATCAAGAGGAATGCTAAAGAGTAATCAAACTATCATTTTATTTATCTGTAGTCTCATTTTCTTTTATGATTGCTGGATTGTTCACTCATTAGTCCGTCATGTGCCTCAGACTGCGCTGTGAAATAATCTGGTTTCATTTAGCTTGATGTGGTGCAAGCTATCATGCTCTGATGTGTTATTGCTTGTGCTTTCCAAAAAGTAGAATACTGAAAGGCTCGTTGAACCTTGAATGAGGCTTTTCTTTTCACTACATCAGGTTCATATAACACAATTATTACTTCTCTCCTCTTCCGTTTGGAGCCAAGGAAATTAGTTTCCTATGACTTCATCCATAGGAATGAAATCTTATGGACTTGGCTGTTGTGGGATAGTTGCTGTTTCCTTTTGGAAATACCGGACTGTAAATTACCAATGACAAGAATTTCAGTTTGTCTTTTAACTAAGCTACAATGCTGCTGCAGTTTACTGGAAGAGAGAGGAAGCACACTCTGGCAATGCTGTATCTTTTAAGTCATTAAAGCAGTCATGTCCATCCACTCACCAATACTACTCCTATAATGATTATACCTGTGCGCCGCAGTGAATACAGAATGTAGTTTAAACTTCAAACTACAAAGAAGGATTGAAAAAGAAAAGAAAAATCACAGCATCAACATGGCAAAATATGTAAGCAGCTGCAGCTCCAATATTAGTATCTAGGTTTTTATTAAAAATACTATAGATATTGATTTCTATACCAATTCTGAAACAAATCCAGTAATATTGCAATAATATTTAGTACTAATAATACTGGATAGCATAACTTAAATTTGAATAGAAAAAAAAACTATGAAGTGCTTTATACTTCATAAGCATACTAGGCTATTGATTTGGACATTTGGACATTGTATTATATTATTAAGGACTTTCATAATAAATAAATCTGATTCAAATATTCAAATTTTCATATATATGATTGCACACCCATGATTTTTTAAATCAACTATTTTTTAACACAGGATTATTTCAGTTTGTTCAGTTTGAAATACATTTCCCGTGTCTGACAGTGGCTGGAAATGTGTCAGAGGTGTCCCCAGGTCTCCTCTGGTTTGCATGCAGCCTACTGAAACCAGTTTCGTGCCACAATATGGAGACAAATTCCCTCGGCCTAACATGTACTTCAAAGCTAGGAAAAGAAAATGCCAAGTGGAAACATGGCAAAGTACTGTTTTTTTCAACATTTTGAGCTGTGTTAAGCATTCATAAGGGTAGAGAGCAGTGACAGCAGTAAATATGAAGCATCTTTTGCTCGGCTGAGGGATCACTTCTGCACAGTGATACAGTAGCTATCCTTTTAATTAGTATTAGTAACTTACTTCTGATACAGATTTATGATGTGGAATACATGACAATTATTCGACGTTCATATGCCTGTGAAGATTATTGAACACTTATTCATCTTTAAAAAAATTAGATGTTGCTCATGCAGTGACAACAGTGCTCATGTGTACAACAGACTGGTTTTTGAACACACAATGTGCACAGCCTTTGTGATATCAAGACCAATTTTATTTGAACAAGAATCACCGTAACCTTGAAACATTAAGTGTCTGGTGTCTGACATACAGCTTGCAATGAAAAGCAGCATTGGTCTGCTTAGGTGCCAGCTATTCAGATTGATGAGTTACTGAATGCTGGCTGTACCACTACTGCATCAGTGAATTAAAGATACTGATCTACACAAGCAACGGATCACTTACACCTGCAACAAATCCACTAAGATATCATCAGGAGAATGGCAGAATACTTCTGTGGCAGGTGACATTTTATTGAACAGTCATAACACTCTTAAATGGACAGTATCAACATTGTATGTTGATAATATATTGGCTAGAAAGCCAGTTAGGTTTTTTAATGCCTACGCAACATTTAACTCTCTTGAAGGTATCACAGTCTGCCATGAATGACCAATTAATTAAATTAATTAACCTATCCATCCATTTTCCAATGGATACTGCTTCCAATGGATACTGCTTCTACTGTATTGCTTTATCTGGAAGGAGCCAGAGCCTAACCTGGCAAGCAGCACGTGCAAGACAAGATCCACTCTGGATGGGACAGCATTCCAACACAGGACACACACACACACACACACACACACACACACACACACACACACACACACACAC